CGCAATACATATTTAACAGTATAAGTTATGTACACTTGTAAATATAAATTTAATTCAAGCAAACATCGATATCAAAATAAATATATAATAATGAATCCGTCACAATCTCAAAACAAAAGAACACAACAAAATGAAATAGCAAACAAAATAAGAGAGGCAGTCACTAACATATTCTACGAATTCCTGGGAAAATACAATAACTTCAAGAACCAAGATGACACTGTCACATTAATCATTGAAATAGCCCTAGAACAATTACTGCCAATATTACCACAGACATTACAGAACACAAATACCCACCAAACACATGTCCACACACATATATAACCTGACAACATAAAACGAACATAACCCTGAAAAAGAATCTCTAACAAGCAAACTAGCTAACCAATAAAACCTAAAGCCAAGAAGATAAGATAACAATAGTACAGGAGGGAGGAAGAGGTCCATTATAACCTGACCCTCCCAGGTCGCAAAAGACCTAAATTCTGATGATTGATCCAGCAACAGTAGTGAGGAATATAGTCAATACCTATGTCGAACCAAATAAAACTGTGCACACACCTAAATTCTCTGCCGAAACACTAAATATATCAATAAACAACTATGGCAATAAAAACCCGATAGCATATCAACTCACAAAAACAATCACAGAAATATAAGTTATAAAAGCAATAAATTCAACTAAAAACAAAACACCAGGTGAAGACGGCATAGAGGTCATCCTCCTCAAAAAAAGGCACTCATACATTGTATGAACACCTAACAGCATTATTTAACCTATCTCTGAACTCTGGATATATCCCGGTTTCTTGGAAGCAAGCGATTCTACTAATGTTCCATAAAGAAGGAAAACCAGATAATAAACCAAACAACTACCGCCCGATCAGTCTTACCAGCTGTGTAGGGAAAAGTCTAGAAAAACTAATTGGAAACAGACTCTCAAATTATCTGGAAGTAACCTCAAAATTCCGGGACATCAAAAATGGATTTAGAAAATTTAGACAAACAACTGACCACTTGGTCAGATTAACAGAAACCATTATTGACAGCTTCAACAAAAACGAATGCACAGTCGCATGTTTTCTCGATATAGAAAAAGTATTCGACGCTGTCTGGCAAGACGGTTTTAGGTTCCGTATGACTGAAATGAACCTACCACGCGTAATTATTCGCTGGTTAATTGACTTCTTGGAAAATAGAAATTGTAAAATAAATGTTAGGGGAACCTACTCGGAGTCATTCACTCCAGAGGTAGGCGTCCCCCAAGGAGGGATAGTTAGCCCTACTCTATTCATCATGTACGTAAGCAATATGCCCCTGAAAGACCCACACTCAGTGTTTTTATCACAATTTGCAGATGATGTTACGGTTTGGAAAAGTGATCCCACCTCATCTATTGCAGCAACAAATCTTCAGCCACAACTAAACAATATAGTAGAATACTGTCAAAAATAAATGTCCCCAAAAATCAAAAGAAACTAAACATAAAAATAACCCATCCAAATTATATATGAATGGAACACTTCTCCAGACCACAACTTCAGCTAAATTTCCAGGTCTAACCTATGACTCTAAATTGACGTGGGCTAAATATATTAACAAAAGTTTGGAAACGAACAAATTATGCAAGAAGTCTAACTGGCAAAAACCATGGAAGCACACCAGATAATATCATAAAAATATACAAAACATACATACGCCCAGTCATAAAATACGCATGCCCAGCATGGATAAACATAGCACCTAAACACATAAATAAATTACAAACAATAGAAAACTCATTACTTACAACAGCCTACAAAGTACCACGTAGCACATCAACCAAATTCATACACAATTATACAAACTATCGCCGGTAGACTCTTGCATAATTCTCTAAATTACTTTATGCACTAAAACGACCTAATTGTGTGAACTTGACCGCTGTTACATACATGATGGAAATAGTCGTAAGCACCTCTCGCCACTAAACATATATTTTAGAAATGAAGAGTTAATCAGGCCACATAATGCTTGACTGAACGTCTTACATTAGTTTTAGACTAAGCTGAAAACATTTAAAAGAGTATTTATGTAAAATGTTCTCAAGTTAGGATTGAAACTAGTGAAATATGTGAGCTACATACTGAACTATACGAGAAGTACAGGACTATGTAGTATCGAACATAAGGTGTATACAACACATGAATGTAAGTGTTGATGCCTACATGGACATTGCCCTGAAAGGGATCGGAATAAGTGCGGTTTACTCTAACCCTAGTGTTGTATTTACACGTACATTCTTCAGCAACCTTGCAACATCGTAGCGGGGGGAGAATGAGGTCGACGAACCTGACTCTCCCAGCTCTTTAAAGACCTAAATCCCGACAAAGTGAACTTTGAGAGGAAAAGGTCAAAATTGTACCTGACCCTTCCAGGTCTACACAAGACCTAAGTCCCGATGATTTATTGATTGAAATTGACAGGATTTGAAATGATTTATTTAATCTTAGCTGTTTTTTACTTAAGTTGGTTTCCGAACAACAGATTGGCGTTTTGACAGATTCATTTAACAAATCATCCTTCGTCCTGTCTCTGCAGCGTACTATTTGTTCTCTGTCGAATGTACAGCTGTTGGATTACGTGTTTTAAAGAATCACCTGGATCTGTAAATTGTATTTACTAACGTATTTGGTAATATTAAGTGTATTAAGACTAAAAGAAGCGATGACTTTGTTAAATTGGCTAGGTATGCCACAGTTCATGGTTGACAAAACAGCATTGCTAATCCTTAAACAAACCAGGAAGTATTACTTCATGATTGCGTTTCATAAACTGGTACTATTGCGTTTGTTAATTATTAACAGGTCAATGAAGTTGTACGATATTGTTGCGTTATAACAGAATATATTTACGTGTTTCTGATCTTTGCGTTAATTGTATTAACAAGTCAGTGAATTATATTGTTTCGTGTACTGGGTAATTATCATTGATATGTAATCCTGTTCAGGCTCACGTTTTCTGCTAACAATATAATTGCATGGAGGAAGCAACTGTAACAGAGCTACCCTGCAGATCCCGCTATTGGTCATTTTCTGTGTCCATTGTCATTATCTGCCATCCTGCCCTTGATAGTTATATATTGTTGTTGTTTATCTAGCACAAAGCTACACAATGGACTAGCTGCGTCCTGTGCACCACAGGGTATTGAACAGCGGATCTTAGCGTTATAAAGTCTGTAAGCTTACCACTGTCCCACAATTTATATATGTATCAGATGGTTAGCTGGTAATTCCCCAAAAGGGGTTGAAGGCGGCCTGGAAGAGTCGCCTGTTTTAACCATTCACACTACTATACGGTAGTGTGTTGTCTGTCAGTCAGTCAGTAGACACTAAAATGACGTCACGTAAGGGACGCTTAATGTTTCAGCTTACGCCTTTCTCAAGGGTTACAGCGTAAATCGAAACTTCGGGTTTGAATACAATCGCTTTTTGTTTTTTTCTGGAACGTGTCGTTTTTTGTAAACATGTTTTATAAAGAGTTATGATAAACCCAATGCTAAAACTGTAAAGAACAGATCTTAGCTCTTAAAATTCTATAACCTTCCTTCAACTTGCTTAAGATGATACTGTTGAAGCTTTTTGTAAATGTGGTCTTATCTTTGTAGAAACCAGATGTTTAAAAGGGTATATCAGGTGCTCACTGTGATGTAGCGTTCAACATATTGTATATCTACGATTTTCCATTATATAAGTAATTCTCAGTACGACCAGTCTGTGTCAGTTGTACTTTGAACGATTGTATTGTTATGTTGACCATTTTGTTTGTCAAAACTGAGAAAGTTTTTAACTTAAAACTGTTTGTGTGGAAACCGAACAAAAGGGTACTGGTTAGAGTGTACGTTAACGAAATTGTTTCCATGCATAAAAAATATGTTTACATAATATCTGGACGCCTTGTTTCGGAATCGCGTTATTGACGAATTTTTATAGTATAATACAATATTACGTCTTCTATTTTATATTTGTTAGTCTATTACTCTTTCAAAAAATTTGAAAATGGGTATTATTGGAGAAAAATACCCACATCAATTATTTTTGTTACACCTGAAAATTCTAAAATTATTTAGAGAATATACACTGAGTGGT